GCTTATAATGAAAAAAGGAACATAAAAAGGGATACCCAACATGCAGCCTTCTAGATCCATTACACTGAGTGGGACATTTATTACATTCCATAAACAGATAAACACATAAGAGTCCTGTAAATGAACATAAGACAAAGCCAACTGGTTAACAGCCTTGCTGCAGGTCTCTCAGTTGTAGAAATGATAAAAATAGTCCAAAGCACATGATTAAAATCTTTGATGTGATCTAGAATGCTTATAATACTGTATGTAACAACCAATTTGAGTCATTTCGCTTTTTTCAAAAGAGCTAAGATAAAAGCAAATAGGTAAATCATCAGAGCCAGAGAGCCCCATCTGAAGCCATGTTTCATCCTGTCCCTTAGGACTGACAGGAAATCTGTTTTCAGTCAGTACGGTTTGTTTCCATCTTCAGTGGGCCAAAATCGAAGCATTCTGAATTCCACATCAATGTTTTTCCTTTCCATGTTAGTCTAAAGAACTGCATGTAACTAGAACAAAACATACAGGCAAAAAGACTAGAAAAATCTGGGTATCTGAATGCATATTCAAGCAGGTGTTTAAGGTATTGTTCCATCGGGGTATCATTTTATTTATTTTTGGCATTGTCATTTCATGATCTTGTTTCTAGTTCTTAAATAGTGAAATGTAAAACTTCATTCACAGAGATTCAAAGCTAGCCTAGCCGGTTAGAGAAAACTGTACAAAAACTGTAAAAACCCTTCCTTATGGAATAAATGAATGTAGGTTAATTTTAATAATGGACATACAGTAAGAGTTTCTCTTAACAGAATCTCTGACTGGTTATATGGAATGGGTAGACGAAAAGTTTACAAAAAAGGTTATTTGACCCATCTAGCACATACTGTATGCACTACAAAATCTACTCCTCACAGACATCTTTTGTCTTTTAAATTATTTTTTATATGAAAACAAGATTCTCTGTATGTAAGACAGTTAAATTGCACTTATTCTTATACAATCAGTGGTGTGAAAACTCTGTACATAAAAACCTTAAATAAAAAAATGTAGTCTTTTGAAGATATCCACAAATTGCAGGAAATTCTCAAAAATGAGGACATTTCTGTCATATTAAAAGCTTTGAGCCTTCCTTGTGGTACTATTCCTGACACATCCAAGATTTGAACTGCTTTATTTCATATTATTTATTGTTCTGTACTCGGAGGGGCACCATAAAGTATTCCTCCACTCACACTTAAAGAATGACATTAAGACAGAAACAAGCAGTTCATTAGTCATTCTTGATTTCTAATGGTCTATAGTTTGAGTGAATTTGTAAGAATCAAAAGATTACACTGCACCAGGCCTGAGCTGCTTTCTACAGAGCAGCTTCTAATTCTGAGACAACATTAAGTGGGGTAAAGCAATCAACAGCAAGGTTCTGTGGGGCTGGACAGCCTGTCACTCAAAATGATGAACAGGAGTAGGAGCTTCTCTGGCCCCATAAATAAACTGTTTCAACAGCTTCTGTCACCATTAAACTCACAGGCACCGTGATTGTGACATATTAGTACATTTTTGTCAGTTACAGTACGTTGTGCATGTTGCATGTTCATGCTATTACTAGTAACTAAGAAAGTAACCAAGAAAAGACTGTTTTGTTGTAGACGGGCATTGGAAAAATATCACATTTCACTCATTCCCTCCCTCCAGCTAAATCTCCACCTAAGTTACCAGCTTACGAAAATCATCTTTGTAAATCAGTACAGCTGAAATGTGATTTCACAAAACACCCATGAAACACTACATTTTTGGTAGGGACATAAGGCGAGACTGATTAAGTGCCATGCAACTCCCCTCCCCATCTTCTACACAAAAGATGCATTCATTCAGAATTGCATAGGTCTTATTCCTTACATACATATGTCAGCAGAATTTGTAGGAAATACAGCATCTAGCCAGGCTTCACCAAAAAAGTGCAACTACAATAACAGCTAGGACTTAGAGTTTTTCTCAAAAGTACATTTTCGCCTATTCCATGTGTAGTATACATCGTTCTTAGGATGCTCGAGTGGGGAGTTGTGTCAGCTCGTGAGCTGCAAAAGAACAGGTATTGTAGATCTGAAAAGTAGAAAGCCCATTCATCCTTCTCAAACAATGTGTCATGCTTGAGCCTTCTCAACAACAGCTGAAAATGCTCAACAGATGAAATATTGTGAGTTTTTTTTCTTTTTTTCTTTTCAGGGTGAAATCAACCTCTACTTGTTCCTCTAAATTGCATTTATTTTTACTAGGTCAAAACTTCAAAGATTCATTACTTAATACATTTCAATGGTATAATTTAGAGCAGTGAAGTGAGCACTGATTTGAAATCTACAAGTATGATTTTTTTTTGCATTAAACAGGGGTATCTAGCATTTACGGGTCTTCCATTTCAGTTACTCCCATGCAACATACTGTACCTTCAATTTACAGTATAGGGGTAATTCTCCTTTTTTGTATTCAGTTTTAAGCTTGATAAGGAATGGGATTCAAACAGAAAGAAATGTTTAAATGCCAATATGCACAACTTGCATTATTTATCTTTTGTTTTAAATGTTCCACGAATATTGCAGTCCAAATTTAGATTTATTTTTTAAAATAATAAAGTGTCCATTCCCACATAATTTGAAAAATCTATAACCTAGTTTTAAAGGAACTTTTTGGATCCATTAACCCAAAACATAAAATGCTGAAGAGTGTCTAGTTTCACACTGTTGATTAACTTTGACCACACACTAGACCTATATACAGTACTGTACTATGGGAGTTGGTACTAAGTGGGAAAAATGAATAAACACTAAAATAGACACAATTATTAAGCAAAGCCATTAAAAGCATCTGAAATGTAAACTGAGACGCCTCACACTGAATTGACTGGAAAATTCCATTTTGTTCAAATCTGAAGAATCAATTATTTGAGAACGTAACAAGACGTACAGTAGCTGGAGATGGATGGATCTAAGGCTAAAGGCAACATTAAGGGTGAAAGAATAATGTTAAAATAGAATGTGTTTTCTTAGAATGAAAGAGCTTGCTACATCACAAGGTAATGAGTAAACAGTATGTTTTGCTTTAGAATCCCCTTGCAAAATAAGCATTATTAGGACACTTTTTATCAGATATGAGCAAACTAAAGAAGATGAATTGAAACCAAGGATTCTGTTAAGGGAATTTCTGGTAACTTGTGCATTTGTGTGGGATTCCTAAGTCTTAAGAAGCTTTTGTACACTGTAGCTATTTATAGAACTCTGCTTTGCAGCATCAAGAATTCAAAATTTTAAATTATTTCTCCTAAATACAGTATGTAAATTTATACATTTAAAAGAACGAGTGAACATTTGAGTAATTATATTACAGTTCACAGATTTGTTTTTTTTTCTACTTCATTAAAGAATTTCTATTAGAGGGTCAACCAAGAAATGGAGCTATTAAAATAAAATGCATAATGTGTTTCTTACTTTCTTTTTGTCTCTACAGCTGTTTTGCCTACCACCTACCCTTTCACACAGAAGTAGTCCATGGGGAAGATACACAAATCTCCATTACTTGCTTGATGAAACAGAACAATGTCAGAAGTAACCCGTGAAAAAAATATGAATGTGTGATAGTGTGAAATTGGATTCTGTTTTTACAGAAGGACCTAAAAAGTACAATATTCAAGTAGCACTTTATGATCTTTAAACTGCTAGTACTGTATATTGAACATTCTAAGTGCTCTCAGACTACATATTTAACAATTGTATTCTTTTCTTTCTAAACTCATGTTTTTTTGCTTACAAACATAAAAGTTTAAATGCACAGGATTTGTAATTTCTTAAATCTGTTCGGTTCTGAGTAATGAGTCAATACATTACAAAACATATTACAAAAATAAAATGATTTAGATGTCAAATACCATCTTATTCACTCAATGCTTTCAGTAGTTTATATGGCTTTAACATCTACCAGTCCCTATTTAACAGTGATATTTTTTATTTTTAAATATGTTCTTAGAAGTTGCTTACAGTGAACAATTTTGTTCTTCAAAAAAAATAATATTGTTTAAAATCAATAAGATTTTAAAGTTACTGATTGCGTCATTCATCCTGTGATTGAATTTGACATCTTAAATATCTTGAAAAATAGAAACCAAATCAATTAAATCACTAAAATTTCCATTGCCTACAATATGCAAAAACTTGCCATTTGCACAATTATCACTTTTACCATTTGGAGTAGCTACAGTAAAGTAGCTTTCTGCAGGCTTCTGTAAAATTATTTATGTATAATTGTAAGTAGTCTCTGAAGATTGGTCCCTGGATCAATTTTCTGGATAATAGCTCCCATATTCTCAAAGGTTTTTTAACAACTTAATACCAGTTATCAATACTTTAAGATGTAAATAAAAGCAGATAAAGTGATATCTAAAGGGACATTTAAGACACAAGTGTACACAGCAACTTCTTTGATCTTAATAACATGCAGTGTAGTGCACCTGTAACTTCTAATTGCTTAATTCAATAAACATTTGTAAGTTAGCCAAAGTGTTAATATTACTGTATAAATGTGTAATGACAATTAAAAATAGATTTAAGTCTGATATTATAGACTAGTGTGAGACATAATGGCGATTTTCCTTTTAAAATAACTTTCAAAACTCAATGCTACAAAAAGAACAATACCTAAAGAGAAAGCCAACCTACCACATCACAATGGACAAATCATGTGGTGTTTTCAATCATTGTAACTGAGACAGTGATATGATATCGGACGTTTGGAGTTATCAAACGTTTGGACGCAGTTAACAGGCGTTTTAAATCTGATCGTATTTGCTAACATATATTTAATTGATTGTAAAAAGATAAATTACGCTATCGTGCAGATAATCTCTGCATAAAGCTGGAAGGGACCTTACATGAATTTAAATAGCAGGAATTTATAAAAAGCTTAATTGTGGATGCCCTTTATAGCGTATGCCCTTTAAATCTTGATTACATTAACATATATATTTTACTTACACTGCTATTTTGCCCTGACCAGTGCACCATGGCTTGGTTATGAGCAGAATCCCCAGTCAATGCGAAGGTGGAACTGGTAAGTTTCAACTCTTCCTGCCTAGAAGTGGTCATCTTCTTTTCCTCACTGCTCCATCTAAATTCAGCCCGACTCAGTGTGTGGTCAGGCAGCGCTGCGCTGCGCTTCCGTCGGTGACCAGCAGCTGACGAGCCCCTGTCCTGCAGTACAGGGGATGATTTCACTCTGTTGTTTACCTTTCCCAGTCCCCTTATGCGCCTTCTGATTCTGTGGCTGTAACTGTCTTTTACTATACTGCGGGTGACTGGAGTATAAAGTGTACCAGCATTTCCACTGCCGTCTTTCTGTCCATTCCATCGAAGGCTCGAAACTTTCTTGCCATCATTGGTCACTTTTATCTCATCCTCGGTTTTTGGCAGTCCTCGACGAAGTGATTTGTTCAGATGCAGCCGGTCAGTACTTCGTTTTCGTGCAAAGCTGACTTCTATGCTTTGCCCCGAATGGCAACCCGGAGTTTCTGCAACACAACCAAGATGGTAAGTTTCCTCACTTGCAGGTTCAGACCCCGCTGTCCCGTCTAGAAACCTAGTAACTTCCCCTTGAAGCCCAGTTGCAGATTCTCCTGTGTCCATCTTAATAACACCACACGGTTCCTGCGGACGTGGCTTACCCACCAGGGAATGGCAGGACCTGCAAGTAATCTCTCCTTTAGCAACGAAAAGGAAAGAAGTAAAGATCAGTACCCAGACCCAAACACCAATGTGCCAGAATGGGCTGAAACCGACCCCCCTCTCCATTGCTGGTAGCACAGAAAGACACTGGCTTTTTTCTCTTTGCTCCCTTTAGTCTTTCTTTTTCTTCTTTGCTACAGTACGTTACGGCTACAGAACTGCTTGTAACTTGTGGGGTTACAGTTGCGGTGTTGTAAAAAGTGATTTTCGCTGAAGCGGTTCACGTTGAAGGATTTGATCAAATGAAGCACCACATGGGGGAGGAGCTCGGCTGAATCCAGAGGAAAGATAGGGGAGATTTCTTGCTCCTTTGCTTTTTTACACGGCATTAATCTTTGCAATATAATGAGCTCACATCCATTAACTTGTGGTGGGAGTTGCATTACATATCTCTTTCGGTTATTGCTGTTTTCCATATTGCGTGATCCTGCATTTAATGTCCAACGCAATTAAACTGAAAGCGGAGTGATGCTATTCAGTATCAACCGTTATTTAAAACCAGTTTTTGTGTATTGTGATAAAAGGTTACAGTACGTTACCTTTTTATACTTTGTTGGAACAGTAGCTCCTGAAAAATAGAAGAAAAATATTTAAACCCATATTCCGATATGCTGTATAAAATATCTGTTGCCTACTTTAAGCATTATAAATTATAAATTGTGCTAATGTGATATATTCCTTACACACTTGATATTGATGTATAACCGACAAGAGTTGAGGCTTAAAATTAAAGTTTTTTTTTTTTCTGTCGGAGACTTGATTTGAACATGGTACGTCTCAGGACTGAAAATACATTTTTGACAAGTCGTATTTTGATACACGCGCGAGTTGATTTCATTCTTCAGGTTGCTGAGTACAGTGGTCCCCATGTATTGCAGACAAACGATACAGTAGCTTTTGCAACGGTAGCCAGTCTCAGTGCTTTCACTAAATGACACGGAATAGATAACACAAGTTGCACGTTTATTTTCCTAGCCTCTCATCAAAATACCTGTTCTCTTGTTCGGTTTAAACCACATGAAGTGCAGCTCATACACAAAACGCGTGTAAAACACAGCTTTACATTTTACATTTAAAGACACGCTATTGCATATATCAAGAACATGTATTTTATTTAAAGAGAAATTCAATAGTAAAATACTGCACAAGTAATTGTAAACAACACGTCTAAATTATCAAAGAGTACATCAATCTTTGCTAATAATACAAACATTGTATAAGAAATGAACTGAAAATATGGGTACTACTATAAAGTAGCAAACCTTTGCTGAAAAATGCTAGTTTTTTGTTAGGTTATCTTCGTAAATTTTTTCTTTGTAAATAAGACACCAATGGCATATTTTTTTCTCCAGAAATACTATTAAATCATGTATGCATAAAACCTACAGTAATTGTTAAAAATACAAAAGCTATTTTGTCTTTTGCTGGCAATACCATTTTAACAGCTTTGTGATTGATTACTGAAGTTCCAATGAGCAATGTACTGCCAAATGAAATTGCAGTGGATGTGCAAAAAATTGCCCTGGCAGTAACAAACTTCAAGTCTGAATTGGTTCTGAGAGGGCAAGACTGCAGTTTGAAAAGAAGGCAAAATGCACCCTTTTACAAATAGCTTATCTCGTTGCTGTAACACCATTTTAACAGATACTTGTCTTTGTTCAGCGGTAACTGTCCACCCATTTTCAGTTTGCTTTTCCTGGTGAAGGGTGTGGTTCAGTAGAAGCAGTTTATTTTAAACCAAAAATACAAAGCACTTAATGTGAATGATGTGAAAAAGCAATAATTTCCAAGAGCTGTTTCATTTTGTAGGAGGGTTTTTTTTATAGAGGGGTTTTGATCACATCTTCTGTTTGAGAAAGACCAAGATGAATTTTCCATTTTAATCGTCTCAAAACAGTTTATAAGGATGTACATTTTGCCACTGCTTGAAAGTAATTGTTTTGCCAAATAGAGTTATAGTGGTGGAGAAATGTACATGCACTACTCAAAGTACTATTGTATATATCGTTTTTATTGTTGACAGTTTTAAATTTTAGGATACAGTTTTTTTTTATTATTTCTTAATTAAAGGAGTGACTTCAGCTAACAGAACAGCAAGTTCCAGAGCTCTGCTATGGTGTTTAAAAGATTGATAAGTGATGCATGTACAGTTGCTGCTATTTGTGCTCAATGATATAAAGGAGTTTAGTCTGGAGATATGTTTTACAGTGAACAAAGTAAACGGAGGTTAAAAAGATAAATAATTAAATTCCAGCTGCATGCATTAAAACAATATGAGCAGAGATGTTAACAAACTGGCTGCCTCCTACCCTGTCCTGATTAAAGAACAATCAAAGGTTAACTGAGACCACTGAACAAAATAAACAACTTCTTCTCAGTGTCATACAGTACATTTTCTGCTGAGTTCTCCGAACCTGTAAGGGATGGTACAGTGTACATATTTAAAAATGGATCCCGGAATGTAATAAACAAATACATTTATGACTTAAATGATACTGTCTATGCATGTACTGTACACAAATACTTCATATTTATTTCTGTATCGATAATGCCTTTTTACTATATAGAGAAATTATATGCACAGTGCCCTCCTTAAATAAATCACAGCTCTCCATGTTATACTTTAAAAATATACCTGATTCATCAAATAAATGCTACATGTTAAAAAAGTACTTGGATCTCTTTCTACCTAGATCATGAGCTTCATGCAGTGCCAGAATCCAATTAGGCAAGGAATGAACAAGTTAACACATTTGTGTCCTACTTTTGTGACCACCATGAAGGAAAGATTTACAGAACTATGGCAAGATCTGGAGCGCGCTGTAACTCAAAGACTTGTTGACTCCATGCCTAATTGAATTCTGGCAGTACATGCTGTTCAAGGAGAATGTTCTATCATACATAAAAACCTTCCCTTCTTCAATTCCGTGTCTGTTCCTATGTACAGTTGCTTTTCAGAATTATTTCTCCTGGTTATGTGTTTTTCCATTTTTTGCTGTTTTTACCTTTTCCCTTGGTCCCTTGTGCTGGAGCCAGGTAAAAGTATTTGCATATACAAGGACTGTACTGTACTTTCTCTGATAATCTTCTCCAAATCCTTGTACTCAAATGGCACCTGAGACATTTTTATATTTTTGTAATGTTGCACTCCCTCGATGGGACTCGAAGCAAAACCCAGGAGTATTAGAAAACCCAAGCGCAGGGCAAACAGGTGGCTGAGTTGGGGAGCTTGCAAACAGCACACAGGGAATACTCAGAGCTGTGTGATACCGAGACCAGAGGCAGCTGGGAGTGGGGAGCAGGCTGCTTGCAGAGTGGTGAAGCATGGTGCAGACACAGGTTTGTAACTGGGGAGACATTGGAACAAAGCCAAGGAGGATCTGAGAGTTACTGTAGGTCAGGGTTTTAGTCCAAGTTCAAAGCCAGAGAGACACACAGTTAACAAAGCTGAGGAGGTGATCAGGAACACGGTCAAAAACAAAGCAGGGGTCGGAGAACAAGCAAAGCCTGACTCAGAGAAAAAAAACTCAGAGATGAAGCTTGAGGGGCTTAGTGTCCAAACTCAATGACAGAGCCCCAAGCTCTGTCAGGTCCAAGTATGTATCCTGAGGAGCATCTGGAATGGGTGTGGTCATAAATGACCCCAGGTGCTCTGAGTCTCCAGGGGATTAGTTTTCTGTGGCAGCCAGAGAAGGGACAGATTGTTGGTGATGACATCCCCATTGGTGCTCCACAGCTTGCTCGCCCGCCCCACAGTTCAGAAACTGGGGACAAGCACTCTGTGCTTTGTAGCTTGGAAACTTTTACCACCAGTACTGCAGTGCTGCACGCTCATGGGGCCAGCACTATGCATAAAAATAATTTTAAACAATTAATATCATCATCAATGTTATGAAGATTTATCTTGATACACTTTCATGTTGTTATTTATTGTTTGATTTTACAGATATACGCTTATTTTATTTTGTCATTTTTTTGGCATCACCAATATCTCTTTCAGCATGACACTCAGCATGTCACATGCTCCCTTTGGGGGAAATATCCAGACTAATAGACTCAGTCTGTATTTCAAACAAGCTTATATATACTGTATATGTATGACTAATAATGTTTTAAACTCCTTTACTATCTTTAATATATAATTTTATAATAATTGCAAATCCCCATTAATCAGAAGTGCATATTGTTACTGGCCTATTATGCAATAAGGGCATAGTGGGGCTCAATGCTGAGCCACAGGTGGCACTAACATGGTTTTAAAAAGAATACATATCATTGGAACAATAAGCCACTCACTGAATGATATGGTATGAAAAATCTAATTTGTTTAAAATACTGAACCTCATGTAAAAACTGTGCAGTGGTATCCATATGTTACACACAACATTCTCTCAGTGGCACACAGGTGTCTGAAAGAGATGGTGATTTCTGCAGAGGTGAGTTTTGCTACAGCTGAAGACCCTTTGATCACCAGGGACTTTACACCTGCTAGTTTCATGTCCCTATACACCTGGCAGAAATAGTGTTTCTGAATTAATCTGAAATACTGTACATGTAAAAAGTTATTTTTACATTTCAGCGACTTGCAGACTTTTAACAAGAAGAATTATATTTTATTTTGATCACTCTCCATGTTTTACTTAATGCTAGAAACAGAGCTGTTTACACATTTTGAGCACAGTTTGGAAAATAATCCATATGATTAAGAGATAAAAAGAAAATGCCAAAATGTACGTACAGATACATATATTTTACTCTGAATTTTCAGAGAATTCATATGTACATTTGGAGAATAATTTAAAGCTATTTTTGGTATAATAGTCAGAAACACATTATTACAGTATTTTGTTTTAGGTTTTTTCTCAAGGTCACCAAACCCATCTATAAGGATAATGAAGTTCTAGATAATTAAGTTGTTTTTTTTTTCTGGGGCAAGAATGTGCAGAGGTAGTGGAGCTCAGGGAGTAATGAAGGTGGGTTCCACAAACAAATAAATGAATGCACACAACTTAAGCCTTACACGTCTTGCTTTTGTATAAGATTTTTACTCAGGGTTTCCCTTTCTTAACACAGAAACAATTTTATGGTGATTTTATACTGAAATGTAAGCCATTTTGTTTTAAGCAAACACTTAATCATGATAGATCTGTATTACAGTATGTAGTGCAAAGAGGTGCCTTCTAACAGGTGTGCAGAGAGGAACAAATAATATTAGGTGAAGAATACAGTACCTGATAATGATTATATTTATCATTTAAGTTTTGTAATTATATTTGTTAGGTACTGTAAATATGATGGTTATGTACTACATGAATATTGGCTACTCATGTACTGTATACCTGTCCCTGAGTTGCTGGGAGTATGTTGTTAAAGATTGTGCACAATATTAATTAAAGATAAGATAAATCTGTATATACTGTACAGATTATGTCTTTTGCATATCACTGTGTTTAGAATTGTAATGTTTCTTGTTGTAAATGTTGTTTGAAGTTTGTACCTCTATGTTTGAAAATATTAACAACAGATCTGGTTTTGAATGCTAACAACAATATAGTTTCAGACACCTCTCATCCCCTAATGGCTCAGGGGCAGCTTTGAGATTCATTGATATGTCA